TAGCCTGCTGCTTAAGCCCTAGGAATATCTCGGCCTCACTAGAACTCCGCCCAGGCTCGAGGTGTGTTGTCCAGCCTGGCCTGGTTGTGGGTTCCTTTTGTGGGTTGGATCCCTAGTTAGGCCCAACGGCTAATTAATATTAATCCCCTGAAGGGCTGATCCCGTTGATGGGCTTTGCATTAATTCAATCTTGGGTCATGGTAATGATCCATGGTACCATCACGAGCCCCCTACTCTCTTGACCTGACCAGGCTCATTGAAAGAGAGTAATTTGATTCCTTTCTTATTCTTGAAATTCTTCATTCTTTGAGGCGAGCGTGGTGAGATGAAAAGGAGTAGAGTAGCGAACACCTCGTAATGATTCCTCCAGGGCTGAGGGTCGTCACCTTTTGTCCACAATGGAGAGGTGCCTCGTTAAAAACCTCACTAAGAAAAACCCAATGAGAAAAAATCCTAGTGAGGGAAAAAGAGTATACCGGATTACCGGATGCCCCCAAAATGAAGCAAAATGGTGAACCCTTTGACCGATGTATTTAGCCGCAATGACCGCATGATGCATCCGGCCTGTTCTGCCTGTGGCATCATCTTCGTTTGACAGATAACCGAGATAAGCTTGAGAGATCAATATGATAGTCTCTATCCAGATGTACCTATGCATTTAAATAAAATTGTGATAATTTCTGGAGATTGCTATTGGATTTGAGTCTAAGTAAATGGCCTCAAATTTTCAATATAGATTCCCGATCTTAGTAGAGTGTGGCCCATGGCCCATATCAAGGACTCAACTCGCCACTCGGCGGTTCGTAGTTTGAATTTGATATTCGGGATGACTAGCCCCACAAGGTCGGAATATGATGTCTAAATAGAGGAGCACATATGACTCATACAAAACACAAGAATGAAACTACACATTATGTGACATTTAGACCACGAGCATATAAATCACACTCGTATAATGTGACCCGGTAGTGCGAGTGTTAGTACTCGGTCGCGTGTATTTGAGTGTTCATAAGTCCGTTCTTTAATGTAAAAAAATACATACTACTCAATAATAAAAAATAATAATGACATAGCTCAACTCATCGCTCGGAATGTGTAGTTTGAATTTTATATTCGGGATGACTAGCCCCCGAGATCAAAGTGGTACTATATCAATTATATTTTTTATTACGAGTTTGATAATATAAAATTGATTTTTGGAATACTTAGCTTTGGATCTGCCGCAGATTTTTGCGTACTGTGAGAGATCTATTTCTCCTACTCCAGACATCGTCTCACCGATCCAACCGTTCAGATTGGAGTATCAAAAGTCAAGAACATACAGTCAAAGTTTCAGCCCGATCCAACGGTGAACGAAGTTGCAGTGATGAAAACCGTGCTGCAGCAGTAGGGTTGTACAGAATTGTTTTCTTCCCTTGGATTATTTCTGTCCTCTGGGGAGTTCGCCTCAGACTTTGAGCCTGTGTAGCTCATAAGCTCTAGTATGGCTTCCAGACCTTCCTATTTGCCGGTTTTCAATCACTTTTGTCCTTTATTTATTTTGACTTGAATTTCCGATCAAGGTCGTCTCTCTTTTATCAAGGATGACTTTACCAATTTTAGACCCTTAGGCTCTTAGCAGTTGAGCCAGTTTGGGTGGGCTTCACTTCAGGTTACTTTGACCTCGGTGATTAGCCTTTTCATTGGCGAGGCTTGTGAGCTTCTCCGGTGCAAAGTTAATATCTTCACTTTCATCTTTAGCCTTGTAAAATCAGTCTTAACCTTGAGAAAGGTTGTCTTTTCCTGTTTAAGGAAATTTGACTTCGTTTGTAAGGCTGTTTAACCTTGAGAAAGGTTGTTTTATTCCCGCTTTTGTCTTTAAGAAGACTAGGTTGAGCTTTTGGAATTTAGATGAGTTTGGAGCTTATACTTTGTCTTTTTGCGAGTACCAATTAGGCGTAGCCCTTTTTTTGGCTGGTTAAGAAACCTTCGCAAGTAATGTATAAAGGACATTTGTGAATGAAAACAAAACCTCGATGCTTGGCTTTCCCAGCTCGTTTATTTGAGCTATGCGAGTGAGATGCTCGGGTGCATTTGTCGTCAGTTTGGACAGGATGTCTGCCTCGACATTCTGCGCTCGCGGAACGCATATCAAGTCGGACTCTTCAAATTGTTTCATGAGTTCCAGTGCTGCATCCCTGTATTTCTGCATCCGGGCTTCTTTGGCGTCAAATTCCCCTCTAAGTTGTTTGATGACCAACTTAGAGTCACTTTTGATCCTTAGCTTTTGGACTTTGAAGTACCTCACTATCTTGAGGCTTGATATTGGTTGATGAGCAGGGACCACTTCACAACTCGCACTGTCTTGGCCGTTCTGAACAGGGTTACAACCCCCAAATCTGATAAGACCTTGATGGGTGGGCTTGGAAGTAATGGGCGAGTTTCTATGCTGCGACATAGATTGCGAGGGCGGTCTTCTCCAGGGATGGATATTTGAGCTCAGTCCCATGGAGAACCTTGCTGACATAATAGACTGGCCTCTGGACAGTCCCTTCTCCTCGCACTAAAACCGAGCTGAACGCGCTCTGGGTTACTCCCAAATATAGAACAAGTGTTTCGTTGGCCTCAAGTTTGCTGAGGAGTAGATCTGACTGCAGATATTTCTTGAGTTCTTCGAACGCAGCTTGACACTCTTGGGTCCACTGAAACCCATTGCTCTTTTTCAGGACTTGGAAAAACGGCAAGGATTTATCGGTTGACCTGGATAGGAACCTCCCCGGGGCTGCCAGCCTCCCTATGAGGATGTGGACCACTTTGACATTCCTTGGGGGCTCCATATCCATAATTTCCTTGACCTTTTCTGGGTTTGGCTCAATGCCTCTGTGTGTCACCATAAACCCCAGGAATTTTCCGCTTTGTACTGCAAAAGTGCACTTCTTAGGATTGAGTCTTAGATTTACCTCTTTCATGATGCCGAATACTTCTATGAGATCATCTGCGTGGTCACTGGCTCTTCGACTCTTCACGATCATATCATCAACATAAGCCTCTATGTTTCTTACCAACACCGCTCGGAAGACCTTAGCTACCATCCGGGTATAAGTGTCCCCAAAGTTTCTCAAACCGAAAGTCATTACTAGGTAGCAAAAAACTCCCTCTGATGTGATGAATGAGGTCTTCTCAACATCATCGGGGTGCATGGAGATCTGATGGTACCCCCTGAATGCATCCATGAAAGAAAAGAGCTTGCACCCAGCGGTCTGATCCACCAGTTGGTCTATGCTGGGCAAAGGGAAAGGATCCATCGGGCATGCCTTATTGAGATCTGTATAGTCCACGCACATCCTCCAGGTGGGCGGCTTTGGGGCCAAGACTACGTTGGCCAACCACTCCGGATATTGCACTTCTCTGATATGCCTGATGCCGAACAACATATTCACTTCCCCTTTGACGAATTCTTTCCGGTCTAAGGACATGTATCTTCTCTTCTACTTGACGAGAGCCACCTTTGGATCTACGTTCAACCTACGAATTGTTACGTCCGGGCTCAGCCCGGGCATATCCTCTGGTCCCCAAGCAAAGATCATCTATCTTTGCCGAGGGAAAGTGCGCGTCATGCCGAGCTAAGAGGCGATCAGAAGAGGATGACCTGCACCGATCTTCGAATAAGCAACGGTTGCCATCCAAGAGGAGGATGACTGAGATCGGTCTTCTCAAGTGACAAGTGTGTCACAGCCCATACTTGTTGGGTATGAGCTCAACATCGTCTGACATGAGCTCAGTCTCGACAGGAATGACCTCAGGCTCGGCAGCATTGAGCCCGGGCTCGGCAAAAATGACCTCGGGCTCAGCAAGAATGACCTCGGTCTCGGCAGCATTGAGCTCGGGCTCGACAGCATTGAGCTCGGACTCGTCGGGAGTGACCTTGGGCTCAGCAGGAATGACCTCGGGCTCAGTAGGAATGAGCTCGAGCATGGCCTAGTATGAGCTCGGCTTCATCCATGCTCTTGGATTCAACGTTTCTCTATCGCTCCTCCTTGCTTTCCTGGAGATAGTAAGTCCCCAACCCCCCATTCCTTAAAGCGAGTGAAGACGAGATGAAGAGGAGTAAACATTCATAACTCAGTTGTACTTAGCTTCCGGAAATATCAGTGATGCTTAGACAAGATGATTCATATGTGCTGAACAAGCTTGGCCTATTCAATATCAAATGTTGAAGCTGGTGAGGCCCATAATGCTGAATTGGTTTGGGACCAATTATTTATTAAGGACTTGACAACTTGTTCCCCCTCCTGCCTTCTTTTCGACCAAAGGAAAAGCTTTCTTTACCAGACATGAGCCGAAGCCGGTAAGAGTAGAGAAAAATTGTTGACTGAGTCATCAGCTTTCTTTTCTTCTGATTGACGGGAGGTGCCTTTGGATCCACGTTCAATCGGTGGACTGCTATGCTTGGGTCGAGCTCGGGCGTGTCTTCAGGCCCCCAAGCAAAAACTACCTTGAACTCTGTCGGGACCTGGGTTATCCTTGCTCTCAGGTCGGTCGGGAGCACTGTACCAATCCTGACCCAGCGTTCAGGTCAAGATCAACTTTGGCCTCCTCAAGCTCTGAGACGGGCTGGGCTCTGAACTACCCCCCTCATATCTGGATAAGTCCTGCGCAATAGCATTGACCCTTACAACGTTTCTCCCGTGAGCCTTGCAGGCTCTTGCATAACAGCTTCTCGCTATCTTCTGGTCTCCCCTTACTGTGCCTATTCCGATCGGCGTATAGAATTTCATGCATAGATGAGCTTGGGAGACACTAACTCTCAAATCTTCCAGCAAGGGTCGGCCCAAAATGACTTTGTGCACGCTTGGCAGCTGAACAAGGACAAAATCCGATTCAATCATTTGTAAGCATGACTCTGAACCGAGTTGGATCTTGACGGTGATCAATCCCTCTGGCTCGATTGTGTCTCCGGTAAAACCTTTTGAATAATTTCTGGCCGGTCAAAATTGATGAGTGCATAATGGATTAGGCTTGCAAGGCCCATGTTTCGGTGATGTTCACCAAATGAGAAGGCTAAAATTTTCCCAGGAGAGACAAGTACTTCGTCCAGACCTATCTCTCTGCCTTCAATTTCTCCACCCAATATGAAATTGTCAATCTTTGGGAAGAAGGGAGCCTGCTTTGGAATGGAGACGCGGAAGATGGTGCTGCCAGAGACCCCTTCGTCATGGCGGAAGCAGCCCCATTTAGCTACTGCTCCTATCATAAAAGGTGGACAGGGAGGAATCCGTGTCGCCCTTGTTGTCGGTGAAAGAGACAAAGGAACGCAGACCTGTGGTGGCGACGTCGAGCTGCGACAGCGGAGCTGCTGGCGGTGACCGGCGGTGACCATTGATTTGGTCGTGTAGGGGTCGTCGCAACGACGACGCAAAAAGAGTCAATAGCTCCGAATTTGATTTCTCTGGATGGCATTACGCTCCGATCTATTATGCCATTAATGGCAGAAATTTGGACGAATTTCGAGAAATTGAACTCCAGATTTTAGACCGCGTCTGAACTTTGCTTGGCTGCGGAACCTGGGTTGGGATCTATTTTGCCGATTTTTTCGATAAAGCGTTTGCTATAATTTTTGAAGAATTTTTGAATGGTTTTGGATGAATTTTGTATGTTTTGGGAGATTTTTCGAGTGATTTTGGGAGGATAATCCCTTGATTTTGATCAAACTCTCGACGAAAGCACCAATGATGGAATATAATTCCAACGAAAAGAGCTTGTTCGATCAAATATTCATTGATCGTAGGAAAGAAAGTAGTAACACTATTATTCATGTGGGAAGCCCCCTTTACGAGAGATATACAAGAGTATTTATAGGCTACAAGAACTAATATTCTAGTATGAGGCTGATACAATAAATGCTATTAATTGCATATTAATTCGAATAGGACTCTTGTAACATCTTAGCCATTGCTAGATACCTATATTGGAACGATAGACTGCCACGTAAGTCCTAGGAATATCCCGGCCTCACTAGAACCCCGCCCAGGCTCGAGGTCTGCTGTCCAACCTGGCCTGGTTGTGGATTCTTTTCGTGAGTTGGATCCCTAGTTAGACCCAACGGCTAATTAATATTAATCCCTTGAAGGGCTGATCGCGTTGATGGGCTTTGCTTTAATTCAATCTTGAACCATGGTAATGATTATACCATCAACAAGAAATACAATCTTTTTCCATTTGGCCGGCGAGCACGAAACTGAAAAGCACTCAAATTGTTTTGCAAACAAAAGACTCCTTAAAATTAAAAAAATTGGTAGATTGAGTGAATGACTGATCAGATAATGATCACCAAAGTCAATCGGCGGAGAATTAGGATGAAAGAGTAGGTGATTTGCCGATCGGTCTTGGGAAGTTTTTCACAATTGCTCCCTCGGTTTTATTGAATTTAATTTGTCAATTTGTTATTTTTGTTTATCCTAAAAACTTTATCATTTTCTTTTTAAAGTAATCAATTTATGATTCACTTTATTTCTCTCATCTACACAAACTTTTATCACAAAACTTTTAATTTTCTTATTTTATACCCAACACACAGTTGGCAATGTCCAGATGAAGGTGAAATAAAATAGACTACACTACACTATCATTATATCTAGCTAGGCCACATGAGGATATTATATACATACTAATTTAACATTTCATTTTTTTCTCTCTGTTCTGCCATAACTAAAAGTGAGATTAATAGAGACTATAGTTACGACTATATACGAAATATTTGAAATAATATCCATAGTACTATATTATACTATTAGTATTTTAGACGCTACCCCACAAAATAAGGGTGCCCTAGGCATTTGCCTAGGTGCGTGCCTCCCATCCATAGCCGGTTCAGACCTTTTCTTGTGGGTAAAGAGCCTCTCGATCGGCTTTAGAACAAATCTCTCATTTCACACCCCAGTGCTCGAAGGAAAACATTCTCAAATGTTCCTCTCAACCCCAATACAACAATCATAACTATTAACTAAAGAACAAGGTATAGAACCGCTAAATGAACTATCACTGGTAGTCTGGTACTCACTCTGATCTTCTAGGGCATCCTTGTATATCTCTCTAGGGGCGGATCGAGGAATGAAAAGTGAGTGTGCTAAGCAGTAAAACAATTGTTACTACACACACAAGGTTTAGCTTAGTGTTGTTATTGAACTGGACTTTTTTGAACTACTCGAGTTCGAGTTTAATTTTGAATATAAATTAATGGCCCGAGCTTAACGAGCTTCAAACTCGAACACAAGCTAGATTGTTATTAGATTAGTTATGCAAGCCGAGTTTGAGCTTAGTGATGTTTGGTTTGATCCAAACTCGAGCTTATTGAACATTTATAAATTTTAAGAATAAGATATATAGAGTAAAAGATCTGCGCAAGCTCGTTTGATGGGGAGTCCTGTCCGGCAAAGCCCGTTTGAGGTGCTTTCGGGGTAAAAGTTTTTAATGAAAGTTTTCGACAACGTTCTCCATGAAGTTTAAATTTCACTTACAAAATCTCAGCTTAAAATTCAATCGGAATGTCGGTTAAATAAATTAATGAAAAACACTCTACTTTATATATGTATAAAAAGTGCAATGTTTTTCAATAATTTATTTAAATGACTTCATGATCTATGGGGAGCGCTTCTAATGAGAACCATGCTTAAGGTGAGAACCGTGAGAACTCCACTTTTAACTCAATGTGATACACTATAACGTTTGTATGTTACACTTTTTTGTATTGATGAAATATTTACAAATTCGCCACCTATTTATTTGATGTTGCCATGTTTTGAAAAAGTGCAACGTATAAAACTTATAATGTATCACATTGAGTTAAAAGTGGAGTTCTCACAATTCTCGCGTTACGCATGATTCTCATTTGATTGTAAATTTGCAAATCGTGCATTTTTTCCCGAGTGTGATGCACTATAAACTTTCTCTGTTGCACTTTTGCATATCGACCAAATAACTTTGACTTATTTACTTTATTTGACTTGACTCGACAAATGTTCAAAAAGTGCAACATATCACCTCTAAAGAAAATCACATTGGAGAAAAAGTGAACGGTTTGCAGTTTTCACGTTAAAAAAGATTTTTATTTGATCCAAAACCACATATATATATAGAGGGAGGTTTAAATACAAAGTACTACTTATATGAAAAATGAGAAGTAATCTTAGCCGTTAAAATGAGAAAATGAGTGGATCAGATCAATTTTTAAGGGGAAAATTCGGTGCCAAAAGTGTAATTATTAAAAACTTTTTTGAAAATTAACGTGACAAATGTGCATCACTGCGGAGAAAAAGTGCATTAGATTAACAAAAAAGTGCATTAGTTTTCAGGAAAAAAAAAGTATAAAGATCATTCCTGATGTTTTTTTAGAAGGTGAATGTGCACCATTACATATTACATATGTACTTTTGCTATTATGTATTACACATTTTTTTGATCGTGAGTTTTGATCTATACGATCCATTGTTAAGTAATCAAGGGATTAGATTAGTTCTCACTTTTCATGGGAAGACCTCTTTGTATTAGAACTCACCCCTATATATATATATAATAGTAAAAAATATAAAAAATGTGGATGCATTTACCACCGCCTCTACTTCCTTCCTGCACCACCACCTCCGAACGGTGTAAAAAGATTCCGTTTTTTGTAAAAAAAATCCATCTGTTTTGTAAAAAAATGTCATTTATTTTTGGAAATGCCAAAAAATGGCATATTACTCTTTGATAATGCCAAAATTTTCATTGAAATTGCCATTAATATGACATTAGTAATGCATGTGGCATTTTTCTGGTGACTGAGGGTGGTGGTGCTGGGGTGACAGAGGCAACGATGATTTTTTCCTTTCTTTTTAATTTTTTTGTTTAAAAAATATTTTTTTTAAATTTTTATTTAAAAAAAGGATAACTATCAAATAAGTCCACTTAGTTTGTACGAAATGCAATTGAGTCCACATACTTTTTATCCAATCAATCAAGTCCGCAAACTATTAAAAAGTGACCAAATCTTCTATTTAATAAATAACCAACCGGTTACCGGTACGAGCTGGCACTTTTTTATTGTTTTGTAATTTATATATATTTCTTTTCTTTTCCTTTTTCTTTTCCTCTCTTCCTTTTTCCCGGTCCGCAGCTCTTCCATGTCCATTTCTTTCTTCTATTTTTGTTGCCTGCCACCTCCCAATGGAACGAACTCCATCGCTCCGACCTCCCTAGCCACCACCTCCGCCGCCAGGTCTCCATAGCCACCGCTTCCGGCCTCCACCTCCACCTCTGATGCCCCTCCTACACACCGCCTCCTGCCACCAACTCTGCGTTCGTCCAACTTTGCTTCCACCATTGAAGCGACCTCCAACCGCACCAGCCTCCATAGCCACCACCTCCGCCGCCCATACCTCCATACACACTACCTCTTCCTCTTCCATTGAGCGACCTCCAATCGCCCTGGCTTCCATAGTCGTCGCCACGACCTCTGCGACCTCTAAGTATGCATCATCCAGTCAATCGAACTTTAATCCTCAACCTCCACGGACCGGTAGATCGAGATTTGTTAAGTCCTGGGGTTTCATCCTAAAACGTCAACCTAATAGGAGGAGCTCATGTCTTAATATAACACTTTGTTGATTCAAACTTTTCCGGTGTTGGATTCTAACACCCCTCCTCATGACCAGACACTTCGTCTGGATCGTGCCGTCAGTCATTTTTTCGTCGGTTCGTCATTGTCATTATTTAATCGTGTCATCATTTTTCATAAGGGGGCCCACACCATGGTTATGGATCGGTTTGGCTCTGATACCATGGTAAGACATGAAGTTCCATCCTAAAAGGTCAACCTGATAGGAGGAGAAACTCATGTCATAATATAGCACTTTGTTGATTCAAACTTTTCCGGTGTGGAATTCTAACAAGATTCGAGAAGTAAGCAGATGGAGTTGTGTTGCAGACGCAGGGAGGAAAAAGGAAAGAGAAAAAGCAAAAGAAATAGAAATAGCAAAAAATATAAAAAGAAATAGAAAATTGTAAGAAAAGCCAAGTGGACATTATAACCGGAGAATCGGTTGTTTACAGGTTAAATAGCCAATTTGATTATTTTCTAAGAGCATCCACATGGATGATACTTGAATAAGCGGAATTTTAATGACACATAGATTGGCACGTAAGATTTTTTCAAAATAATCTCATACCTTCAAAATTATATCATTCATTATTTCAAAATAACCGGATCTTTTGTGGGTCCTGCACTCAGTAATTAATAATTTAATACTACCTTCACAATAATCTTGAGATAATCTGGATTCATATTTCAATCCCGGATTATTTTGTCAAATAATCTCACTAAATAATATTGATCACTCAATCATGATCCCCAGAGTAATCCGCCACATCAACAACTTAATCCTCAAATAATCTTATGAATGGAGATGCCCTAATACACTTCGCAGACTTGATTGATTCATTAAATAGTATATGGATTCAATTGACTTTTTCTTAAAAAGATGTACTTATTTGACAGTTTTCCCTTTAAGAAATACTGTATTAATTTTTTATTATTTTTGTACGATTTTTTATCATTTTATTATGAATTAAAATATATCAAAAAGTACAAGGATATATTTATCCAACTATGATTGTGGAACGTACAAGTGGTGGGGAGTGTGCCGTAGTACCTATGCGGCCATTCATCCTTCCATAAGTTTAAACTAAATTTGCGTCGGATGTGCCACAGGTTCTGGGGAGTGATCTATTTAGGGTTGTGAAAGAAAACTTTGGTGGGAGTTGCGATAAACTTGTGGAAGAGAAGGTTCTACCGGTGTCCGGCGATGTTTCCTTTGAGGATTTGGGGATTCAAAACTCGAAGTTGAAAGATGAAATATTGAGGGAGGTTGATATCATAGTCAACTCTGCTGCCACAACCACATTTGACGAGAGGTACTTAATAAATACACACTATATATATATTATACAAACAACATGTAAACTGCCCTATATAAACTGCCGAACGTCCTACGATATAAATTGCCCTATATAATATAGATTGAATATGGACACTTGGATTGTATCATGTCAAATTGAATTGTGTATTTGAAATATGTTTTAGGTTAAATTGAAATATGCAGAATAAAAGGTAAAATTCAAATGTGCATTATGTGAAATTGAAATGTGCAAAATAAAAGACAAACAAATTCCACCACATCGTAGTTTTTATTCTGCACATTTAAGTTTCACTTAATTCACATTTCAATTTTACCTAATGCAAAATTTAGCTTCACATAATGTCATGAGTTTTCCCCCGGCATCATGCTAATTAAATAAATAATTCCCAAAATACTGTTGGGTAAAAAATAATTCCCAAAATACTATTGTGGTTATTTGCGGTTAACAAAAGCCGCCACTTCAAGTGATGGCTCTTCACTAACAGTACAAAGCTCTTCACTAACAATATAAAAGCCGCCACTTCAAGTGGCGGCTCTTCTCTAACAGAAGAAAAGCCGCCACTTCAAGTGGTGACTCTTGTCTCCAATAATTACAACACCAGTTTATTCAGCGTGAAAAAACACAATAATCTGTTCACAGCTTATTCAATCGGAAAAACACAAAAATGTGCTCATTACAATACAGTCAACTCAAAAACATCAATCAACTTCTCTTCATAGTGAATATATGTTGCTAAAAAACAAAACATAGTGGAGACTCAACGAATCTATAGAACTACATTTGATCACATAAAATTTATAATAAATCCAATGTTTCATAAATTGATCAGCTAATTCATGTTTAACACAATAATTTCAAGTACAAATATCACAACTCAACATGATCGTCATCATAAAGTTCATGTGGTTGTGCTTGTGTCTGACATCGGGGGCGTCTGCGCTGGTTTCGAGGCCGAAAACCACTCTATCACGTCATCGTGCCTGGGAAGATCCTGCTGCAGATGTAGATGCCGTGGAATACTGAGAGGCGGCCACATATCCATGTTATACTCAGCCCAATACATCATTACACAGTGCAACAATGCCTGAGCATACTTCATGATATCCCTGTACATCTTGCCCCTCATCAAGTACAACAGTCGCTGTGTCATGGATTGTTTGCAAAGCCCGTGTCTGTAATGAAAAGATGGTTATTAGTGATAAACACATGAATAAATAAATAATTAAATAAATAAAGTGAGTTATGTGAATATATTGTGTACGGTGATATGAAGAGCGACTGAGCTAGGCGGGTAATGATCGGTGGGTAGACGAAAACTGGGAGAGATGAACACTCGTGTAATGTTGTGATACCATCTCATGTAATCTGCAGAGACTGTGGGGACTACTGATGGGATCTCGTCCACTATATACGTTGCTCTCTAATCCCACATGGTGATATACAGAATATGGTGCATCCCCCAATCCTCAGTGTGCTTCCCTCACCTGTCGATCTTGTGTAAGTCCAGAGAAGTATCACAAGGAGCGGGAATAACCTACTGCAACCCGAACTGTCCTAGTACGCGATCAGGAAAGTGATGATCCACTACATCAAAACAAATCAAAGGCACACATGCTCTCCATGTCTCAGTGTGCTCTAGGCCATCAGGAGGCAATTGTCCTAAAATCTCATAAGTGTATGACATTCACGTCATCTATAATACAAAATATTATGACATCATTGTTTATAACAACGTAAAACAAAGTAGTTATACTTAATGATATACAGGGTATACCCGATCATCACACATGTCATATAATGCATTTCGATAATAACTTAATCCAGTAGCGGATCTAGTGCGAGTGATGTCAGCAAAAAGTCACCGGGCACACAGTAATGTACAAGAATATAAAATGGGTTCCAGTACATCATACATAAAATAAAATAAAAATTAAACAAAATTCATAAACGTACCTACGACCCAAGGGGTCCTCGCCACGAACATGATGTGATCCAAGTACAGATCGATCGTGAAGATCCAAACCATCTATCCCACGCATTATGTCAGGTCTACCAATATGAATATGCTCCCACGACCATAGCTATATGAGCAATAAAAAACCACCCATCTCGCCACCCTGACAATGGCAACCTCAACACAACTGTCGATATAGGTATGCTAAAGTCGCACTACCCCAACTATAAAGCGCTGCTACATCACAAGTCTCCAAAAGGGGTAAGTAAAGAACTTGCAACTCATTACCGCTCTTGTCTGCAAATGCAGAGGCTCGCATAAGCATCAATATGTAGGCTCTCGCGTACTGCTGGACAACAGTGTCATCAGCATCAGCAGGTAAAGCACTAAAATGCTCTCTCAACCAAGGCATCCTCAAGGCGGACACCCGAATATTCGTCCTAGGCTCTGGCCGTACTCCCAGGAATCTGTGTACCACATGAACCCATAGTCTAATTTCAATCCCAGTAACAGCCTGACCCTGGATTGGTAGACCTGCCAGTACAACCACATCTCCTAATGTAATCGTCACCTCACCCACGAGTAAGTGGAAAGTGTAAGTTTCATGTCTCCAACACTTAAATAGAGCGGTAAGTAATGCTCTATCTAAATGCGGAGTTGAGATTAGCCTGTAAACACCGTAAAACTCAGCTAATCGAACGTAACGTAAAATTCTAGCGACCACCTACATTTGGAATATAATGCGTAGGTATTCACGACACCTATCCACCTGAACATCCAGACCATGCTACACATCCTCGCTCTGGTGTGTGGCTTGCAATGTTCGGACTGAAGGATCAATCGGTCCGGGATCCACTGACACCTGCATCGACGCTGTAATAATAATATATGTATTAGTTATTTTATTTTAAGAAAAAGTACGGAAAAAGTACTTGTGGTTGAGCCTGCTTTTAGATAGGGTTATGTGTTTCATTCTTTATCAAAGTGGTTCATGTGTTTGAATTCCATTATCACAAGAGGGTCACGCCATTAAAAACGTCTGAAAAAGACCGTTAAAAGTAACTCCGATTTTCAAAAGTGGTTCATGTGTTTTCCCTTTATGAAACACATGACCCTATATGAAAACGGGTCCAACCACAAGTACCTTTTCCGTACTTTTCCCTTTATTTTATTATTAAAATTAAATTTATGTATTTTTTAATATTGCTAATGCATTTGTGAATAAAAGAACAACATTACCCATGGAAATCCCTACGTATCCCTGCGATCTTCTAGCACATGTCGTCCTGTTATGCCTTGTTTGCTTGCATAAACCGCATCTCACAATACCTCTAGGACATTCATCCTTTTCATTTCTCAATCGTGTAGCCTTCGAACAACCTTTAGCGCGAATCATTGACGATGCACAACTCGTGGTCCAATGTAAGTAGGTCGATAAGCTATATCAACAAAAGCATCATAGGATAAACTACGTTCTCTGCATACCGCTAAGATATGTGAGCAAGGAATCTTATAAATATTCAGCTTCTGACATGTGAAATGGCGACAATGCAAATTAACCGTTTGTTTTGTAACACACTTCCTCACAGTTCGACCACCAAGACCTGTCTCCACTTGGTATAAACCACGGCCTATGCCAAATGTTGTGACCTTGTGATGCTTTGTCTTTTCCGTATTTTTCACAATCAGTTTAGTCACTTAGTGGCGGTAGAGATGCCCTTCTGCTAACCTTCTCTTACTAGTTTCTCTTCTTTCCACAAAATAGGCATTCACATGATATAATGATAACTCAACTAAGGCGGTTATAGGCAGGTATCACGCACTTTTCATGACGCTATTGAAAACTTCAGCCATGTTCGTTGTTGTGGTGCCATACCTGTACCCCCATCGTGGCGTAAAGAACACTTCTCCAAACCAACGTTCACTAGATATTCTCGTGGTTGTGCCTGCATTTCACCTATCTTGTTATATCCACCATCAAATTTCTTCTTTTGACGTTGACTTGCTGTCCACTACCTACCTCATTAAGTGACTTCACAATTACAGCATGTCGATCTGAAATAACACACAATTCTCTGTGTGTCGTACAATGACGTATGCACACCATAAACCACGACCAACTCTCTCCATTCTCCGATTCACATATAGCAAATGGCAAAGGGAACAATTGATTATTAACATCACTACCCATTGCCACCAACAACCTACCTTTATACTTCCCATATAAGTGCATTCCATCAATGGTCAGTAAGGGACGACAATGCTTAAAGCCCTTAATGGATTGCTTAAATGCCCAAAAAACTCTTTGAAACTGCACACAGTTAGTAGTACCTGAAAGACGGAAAAAATTAGGGGGACGAATTTAAAATGGAATGTAATATGATACAATAAAAGATACTCCGTACTAATAACTCATTGGTACCTGAAAGAGGTGGGTACCAATGCACGATAGTCCCTGGATTGGAATGTTGTAATGCCAACATGAAATGGGGCAAGTCAGAGTACGATGCCTCCCAATCTCCAAATATTTCACTGATAGCTTTTTGCTTAGACAACCAACATCGTTATTACGAAGGTACATACCCATACTTTTTCTTCATAAGCTCACTAATAGTGCGGACTTTTGGTGATGGATTAGTACGAAGAAGATCAATAATTTAACGGGCTATGAACTGAGCTGTGATACTAGCATGGTCATTGTTATCGAGGTCACCTAGATAAGTAGGTATATGAGGACCTGCATAACGAACAACTTTAAACATATCTAGTCCCACATGTTTCTTAGTAGCCCAGATCTGCCAAGTGCAACCACATTCTTTTTTCCACTTACACTCTGCCACCCATTTGTGTTTGTCAGACTCTACAATTGAGAAAAATTGGTTCATGTTTACATAGTACACTCTAACCATGTTAATCAGTTGTTTTTTATCATCAAACTCTTGCCCGACCTCGAATTCACCATTTGCAGAGAAGCGATTGGAAGTTGTACAACCCCTCCATGATTCATCAAATCCCACAGAGAGCTCATAAACTTTAGTGT